GGGGGAGAAAAAAAGCCCCCCCCCCCCCCCCCCAATTAGGCTTTTTGGGGGGCCCCGGAAAACTTGGGGGAAAAATTTTTTAGGGCGGTTGGGGTTGGGTTTTTCCCCCCCCCAAGGTTTCCGGGGGACTTAGGAAAACGGGGGGGGGGAACCCCTGGGTGGTGGGAACCCCCCCCCCCCCTGGGGGATGGGGGGCCCGGGTCGGGTCAAACCCGGGGGGGTTCCCCCCCGGTTTTGTGGGAAGGGGGGGTAAAGGTTTTAAGGATTCCGGTAGCCCGGCTTTGGGGTCCCCCCCCCCCCCCCCCCCCTAATTTCGCCACCAGCAATCACCAACAATTTTGTCACAAACATTGCCTGGTACTTGATAAACAAAACTTCATCGGCGCTTCCGACCAAAACTCCTCGCTCAGACCCGGGAAAAATCGTCCGGAAATAACGCGGGATCCATGTCGCAGGTTGTTCTCGCCGCCAGCCAAGGCTTCGTGTTTACAGGCGGGAACTAGGCGCCCGTGTCCCGAAGGCCCTGAGCCTCATCACCCCCCCGTCGGGCATCATGGAAAGCTGAAAAATAGGAGCGCGTGCGAAGGGACGACAACGAGACGGAGCCTGGTGAGAACGAACACACGCAACGGCACGCCGAGCTATTATAGCACGTGGTGGGACGAAACGGGACATCCCCGTCGAAATGGGAAGAGAACCGTTGAATCGACGCACACGAGGCTCGCTGTAATCGAGCCGTTCGCTCGTCAACAAGCACATATTGCTTCCCTGAGGTTTTCTAACAAACGAAGATATGCCTCGTTGTGTATTCCCCCGTACCAAGAAAAAAGGGAAACCCTTTCGAACGATGGCAGCAATAGCGATCGCAACCCTCGAAGGGACAAAGGGATACACTCAAGGCACGCGCACGCACACGGCACAGCGTCCGCTGTACCTCTGTTCAGCGCGCCTGACGTGCGCACAAAATAGAACGTCCTATCTATGTACATCCCCGCAACGTTGAACTACTTAGCATCCCTTGCCTTGACGTGACTGATGGGGCCCAGGTTCTCGATCTCTCCCTTGCCAAGATCGAAGACGTGCTCTCTTCAAGGTCGCATTAAGACACACGCACGCACGCCGGCGCACGCACGCACGACACGCAACAATAAATTCATTGTAAAGGGGGTTCTCGTGATCAAATCAATTCAAGGTGTATCTCCTCCGCAGAGAAACAATATCTTCTGCGTAACCCGCTCTTCAAATCTTATGTAAGCTCTGCGATTTTTTCCATCTGCCAGAACCTTGAGACGGAATGACAGATACACGATGCTCTCGCATCCCGCGAAAGAACACTGTTGTTGCTGCCGGAGCTGGGCCTGCCAAGCAGCCGCTGTTTCGCGCACCGTAAAGAGAACTAGGAGAGCTTACCTGCTGGAGCCGGCCTTGTGCCTTGGCAGCAACGGGCGCCACCGCATGCGCTCCCCTCCGTCCGCGAAGTCCTGCCGGGTTTTAACAATAAAAAAGCAGCACAAGTGACTATAGAGCGTACGAGGAGGCGAGGGGGGGGGGGTGGGCCTCCTGTTTCGTCACTGCCAGTGCCGCCTAGTGATACGATTGGTGAGCATGTCGAAGCTCTCACCGAGTCGAGGGCGTCGGGGGACAGGCACGCCTCCACCAGGATGCTTTCCGGGAAGTTTCCTTTGAAGTGGTTGGTGTCCACGACGAGGCGCTTCACCTCTCCGATCACCCCCAGCCGGAGAATGGCCCAATCGCTTCCCGGTGCCTGGTGTAGATTCGGAGATGGGGAGCGGCAGGATCAGCTCAGAGTCAGGCAAAGGGTAACGGAGGCTGATGATGAAAGGAGGAATGATTGACCATTAGACAGAGACAGGGAACAAAAACAGGATAAAGAAATGCTGTTTAATCGGTCAGTGCTCAGCGTCTACCTGGGTGTTGCGGGGGGGTAACGATGGCGGATTCCGCGGGAAGAGGGAGGGCACATCTACCGACCGCAACGCCCCGTCGTGTTTTCATTGTTGGCCGCTTCGGAGCAGGCAACATCCATATTGTGTGCGCACCGTTTTCGTGCTCTAACCCACATGGTAAATCACGTTTTCGGGTGAATTTCCATCGAGTTATTCCTTGTTGCCGCCGGTTCCATCATGTCTTGGGTGAGTCGGTTACCTTAACCAGGCCGTCAGGTCCGATCTCTAGGACGGTGGGACGATCCGTCTTTCTCGCGGTTTCCCAGCCATCGCCCATGTTGATTCCCCGTCCCGGCTGTCGCGTTAAAGCAAGCGACAACGGCGAACAACTTCAGTCACGACCGCATCAACGGTTTCAACTGCCGCAACGTTCACAATGGTCACACCGGCCGCAGTAGCCACATCAGTAACACGGACAACGGCCACAGCAAAATCACACCAGCAACAACAGCAGCTACAGCAATCGCGATAGCAGCAACAACAAGCTGTGTCATGACGAACATAGGTGTGCCAAGAAAGGGTGACAGGCCCGACAAATGAGATGCGACAAATGAAGGCATCGTGACCAGATGCACTACTCTACGGAAGGTCCGAGAATCTTGTCCGCATGAATGCAACACCCACGGAACGGTTCAACAAACCGTTGACGTACAAACATAGAAGTTTAAACACGAACACGAAAACGCGTCCAAAAAGCACGAAACAACGGTCCAGAACGAAACAAAACGGTCGAAGCATGCACGAAAAAACTTCTCCGAACAGGACTACGAAAAAGATCCCAAACCAGGGAGGAAATAAAAGTCATGCGTCTTTTTAGGGCGATTGGTCCCATCTATATTGAGCGCCAAGCTACACCGTTCAGTACTCGGAGTATGTACATTAACACACCAGTCGGGATCACTCAGGAAAATGAACAGGTCAAGGTAAATATGTACCGGATTTGGTTTCTCCGCCTTTCCCCTTGCCGTCCTCGTGTTCAATTCTATGCGAGAACAGAACGAGAAAGGTCAAGCAGTTTCTTCCCTCTCCGTTGGGAAACGCGAAAAAAGACTGCGATAACCGGAACGAATCGGAAAAAGAACTTCAAAGCAGTGACAAAAGTGAAGAGCTCCGGAAACTGTTCGAAAATGCGTCTGCGAAATGGCTCGAGAGGGAAGTTAAAGATACGCAACGGTTACCAAAGCCATGCACACGAACGATCGGAACATTTTCCAATTCGATATCGTGCAAGATCGGTTCAAAACGGTCCGAAAGTCGCTCCTACACCAACGGCACGCACACACCGCGTGGTGCAAAGATGGCAACGCAAGAAAACAAAACAGGCGCGCGAGAATCGAAACCGTTTCGGCACGGCCGGGAGAGCAGGGCGCACCTTTATCATGTTCTTCGGCTCTCCGTAGTGGTGGTTGCTGCACGCAACCTCGACACCGCCGTTCTCCACCGACAGCAGGTCGATCTCCGCATCATGCTTTCAACGAAAAAAATACAACAGACAGAACAACAACAGGAGAAACGAAAATGATACAGTAGAGGTCAACCTACAGCAGGCGAAAGGAAGGTGGCTACAAATACAACGAACAGGAGTTCTTCAATGTCGTCCCGCGCTGGGCATGAAAACAACGAGGGCAATAAACAGCCCGGTGGAGCTTACCGCGCGGCCGCCCAGCCGATTCAAGACCTGCCTCTTGAGTTGGTGAGGATCGCGTCCAACACACGAGGCTCGGGAGTATCCACACCCGCCCAGACTTCGATACGTTGCGGAGGCCCGAACTTCGACTGAAAAGAAGGGCCCAACTTTCTCTCAACAACTCCCTGCCTATCTATACCTCTGCCGCTCTCTCCAACCATGCGTCTGTGCCACGTACCTCTGCGCCCTATTTCGCGTCTCTGTCCTCGTCTCTCCCTCAGTATGCGTCTGCCTATCTCTCTCTACTCCGACGACAAAGCCACAGAGAGCTATAAAAAAAGTCGCCCACCCCGACAGTGTAGCGGCGGCTGTCCCGGCGAGGGAGGAAAAAGAAGATGAAGCGTCTAGGCTTGGCAGTCTAGACGCGGAGGGTGCAGACACCCGGTCAGGGGTCACAACGGACAACAACAAGTGATGCCAATCAACACGTTGCTCACCGGTACCCCATCCCAGGAGCGCTCGACGATGCCGTGCACCTTGAGCCGCGCGATGCCCCCATCGGGAAACATGTTCAGCCTCAAGTGCGTATACCTAACCGCACGAACACGACGGACGCAGGCGGCACAGAGAGCAGCACGAGGCAATCGGTGGCCATCTGCCGCCAGCTGCTGAGTTGCATAAGCGTTGGGGAAGACCATTGGTTGTTCGTGAGAATGCCCTACTGTAGCCACATCCCTCGTCTCGGGCAGTTTGTTCTTGACCGGATTGCCTCAGGAATGCGGGTTGGGCGGGGTGGGATAGGTACTAACAGAGGCTTCAGCACATAAAACCCCTCTAGCATGCCTGCACAGCAAGAACATAGCACGAAGATTTGGGGGGGGGGGGGGGGGGGGCCTGCCCCTTTTAATCATTTT